ATAAAAGGCATTCAAATAGGAAATGAAGAAGTCAAACTGTCACTATTTGAGGATGACATGATTCTCTATATAGAAAACCCTAAAGACTCTACAAGAATATTACTAGAAATAATAAACAAATACAGTAAAGTTTTAGGATACAAAATCAATGTTCTAAAATCCACAGAATTCCTATACTCTAATAATGAATTGTCAGAAAAAGAAAGGAAAAAAAAATTCCTTTTGCAATTGCAACAAAAAGAATAAAATATCTAGGAATAAACCTAATGAAACATGTGAAGGACATATATAATGAAAACTATAAGACCTTATAAAAAGAAATTGAAGAAGACATAAAGAAATAGAATAATAGTCCATGTTCTTGGATAGGAAGACTCAACAGTTAAAATTACTTTATTGCCTAAAGCATTATACAGATTTAATGCAATCTCCATCAAAATCTCATCAGCACTTTTTAAAGAAATAGGACAAAAAAATCATCAGATTTGTATGGAAGCACAGAAGATCCCAAATCACCAAAGCCTTCCTGAGAAAAAGGAACAACGCTAGAGGCATCACTCTTCCCGACTTCAAATTATACTACAAAGCGACAGTAATCAAAACGGCAATGGTATGGGCAGAAAACAGACACACAGACCAATGGAACAGAACTGAGAGTCCAGAAGTAAACTCCTCACTTATACGGGCAAATAATTTTTGACAAAGGAGCCAAAAACATACAGTGAAGAAAGGAATGCTTCTTCAATAAATGGTGCTGGGAAAGCTGGAAAGCCTACAAAAGAATGAAAGTAGACTGTTGTCTATCATCACGCCAAATTAACTCAAAATGGATTAAGGACATGAATGTAAGACCTGAAACAATAGAAGAAAAGATAGGAACTAAACTCATGAACCTTGGACTTAAAGAGGATTTCATTAATTTGACCTCAAAGGCAAGGGAATTAAAAGCAAAAATAAATGAATGCAACTTTATCAAACTAAAAAGCGTCTGCACAGCAAAAGAAACTTAACAAGGCAAAGAGACAACCATCTGAATGGGAAAATATGTTTGCAATCAGCGCCTCCAATAAGAGCCTAATATCCAAAATATACAAAGAACTCAGACAACTCAATAACAATTAAAAAATGGGCAGAGGACCTGAACAGACACTTCTCCCAAGAAGACATACAAATGGCCAACAAACATATGAAAGGATGCTTATCAACACTAGCTATTAGGAAAATGCAAATCAAAACTACATTGAGATACTATCCACATTTTCTAGAATGGCTATTATCAACAGGAAAAGCAATAACAAATGTTGGATAGAATGTGGAGAAAAAGGAACCCTTATACACTGCTGGGGGGACTGCAAACTGGTACAGCCACTATGGAAAACAGTATGGAGGTTTCTCAGAAAACTAAGGATTGATCTATTTGATCCAGCAATCCCTCTACTATTTGATCCAGCAATCCCTCTACTGGGTATTTACCCAAAAGACTTGAAAACATTTATCTGAAAAGACATATGCACACCTATGTTCATAGCAGCATTATTCACGGTGGCCAGGAAATGGAAGCAACCGAAGTGTCCTACGATAAATGATTGGATAAAGAAGCTATGGTACATATAGACAATGGAATGTTACTCAGCTATAAGAAGAGATGAAATGCTGCCACTTGCAACAACATGGATGGACCTCACGATAATCATGCTAAGCGAAATAAGCCAGACAGAAAAAGTTGAAAACCACATGATATCACTTATATGCGGGACAGAAATCTAAAAGCTACAAACAAACATGACAAGAAACAGAGACTCGTGGACATGGACAATAGACTAGTGGTTACCAGAGAGTAGGGGGGAAGGGGGAGGTAGATGGGCTAAAAAAGGTCAAATATGTGGTGACAGAACTCTAACTATGGGCAGTGACTATACAATGCAATATATATGACTTAGGTTAAATTGTACACTTAAGCTGATTGGATTTTGTTAATCAATGTCACCATAATAAAAAAAAAGTTAAAAAAGAAAAGAAACTGGAACTCAAAAAAAAAAAA